CACCCTGCCACCTTCCCACTTGATCCTTGGATCATTGGAGAATCTAAAGAAAGGATTTGCCCCTGGGTCCAGGAGGCTGTCAACACCTCCTTGAGAGAAGGGATAGTACCAGCCTCCTTAAATGAGGCTGTAATAAGACCTCTCTTAAAAAGCCGAGCCTGGATGCAGAGATAGTTGCCAACTAAGATGGAGGAGGAGATGTAAGCTGCCTTGAGCCCTTTGTAGGAAAAAAGGCAGGATATAAATTGAAAATTAAATAAATAGATAAACTACCAACTGGTAGTGGACCTTTTGTTTTTGAGCAAGGTATTGGAGCTATACGATGGCCTTCATGGCTCCTTCATGGACCCATGAGCAATATGACAGTGGAACCAGCTGCCCGGAGAGGTGGTGGGAGCTCCCACACTAGAGACACTCAAAAAGAATCTGGGCAGCCACCTGAGTGGGAGGGTGTAAACTGGTGTCCTGCAGGGGTTGGACCTGATGGCCTTCATGACCCCTTCTAACTCCACTATCCTATGATTCTATGAAAGTGCTGAGCATGGTGGTCTATGGTGATGCGGAAGTAGGCATCCTCCAAGTTGGATGAGGTGAACCTGTTCCCTCCTTGTGGGAGAGGTGGGATGTTCTGGAGGATGAGCCTCCTAAACTTCCTTGGTGGGGAGACAATTGATGCCTGTGTGGTTTAGGATTGGTCTGAGGCCCCCATCTCATTTTGCTGCTGTGAAATAGTGAAGGTCAAAGCCTTGAGAAAGGTTGGAATGAGGAGCTCTCTCCATTGGAAGGTAGTGAATCAACCTCCAACATCAACATTGAGGAGGGGACCATGCCCCAGATGGTACTGGGAAATGAGATAGCCTCAAACTTGAACCAGTAGCCTCTCTCCATGATGGATAAGGCACAGAGGTCAGAGAGATGTCCATCAAGATTGGATGGTGGGATGGCCAGCTGGTGAGGGCTGTCAGTGATGGCACATGTCCTCTTCTGGGTGCTTTCATGCTTGCTTGAAGTGTCTAGAGAGGTCACGGGCTCTCCCACACTAGAGACATTCAAGGCAAAACTGGACAGTCATCTGAATTTGTTGTTGTTGTTAGTTGCGAAGTTGTGTCCAACCCATTGCGACCCCATGGACAACATTCCTCCAGGCCTTCCTGTCCTCCACCATCCCCTCAGACCAACTGCCCCAGTGACCCCATCCAGCCACCTCATCCTCTGCCATCCCCTTCTTCTTTTGCCCTCAATTGTTCCCAGCATTAGGCTCTTCTCCAGGGAGTCCTTCCTTCTCATTAGATGGCCAAAGTATTTGAGTTTCATCTTCAGGATCTGGCCTTTAAAGAGCACTCAGGGTTGATCTCCTCTAGGACTGACCGGTTTGATCGCTTTGCGGTCCAAGGGACTTGCAGGAGTCTCCACCAGCACCACAATTCAAAGGCCCCAATTCTTCGGCGCTCAGCCTTCCTTATGGTGTCATCTGAATGGGATGGTGTAAACTGGTGTCCTGCAACAGTAGGGGATTGGACCTAATGGTTTTCATGGCCCCTACCAACTTTACCATTCTATGATTCTAAGTGGTGGCTGGACAGGTCCAGGCACTCTTGGAGGATGTGGATTATCTAGACCCATTTCAATCAGGTTTCAGGCTGGAGTTTGGGACAGAGACTGCCTTGATTGCCCTGTACAGTGACCTCTGTTGGGAGAGAGGCAGGGGAAGTGCAACCCTGTTGATTCTTCTGGACCTCTTGGAAGCTTTTGACACCATCGACCATGGTGTCCTTCTGGACAGGTTGGCCAGGATGGGAGTCAGAGGCACTGCTTTTCAGTGGCTCCACTCCTACCTACCTGACTGTGTCCAAATGGTGGTGCTGGGGGTTGGTTGCTCTACTCCATGGTGGTTACACTTCCATGGGGCTCTATACTCTATACCCCCATGCTCTTCAAGATTGACACAAAACCACTGGGAGAGGTCATCTGGAGGTTTGGGGTGAGGTATCGACAAAATGCTGAATATACTCAGCTCCACCTATCATTTAACATTGGATCTGGATGAGGCAATCTTCATGCTGAACCAGTTTCTGAGTTCAGTAATGGACCAAATGAGGTCCAGTAAGCTGAAAGATGGAAGTGCTGTTGGTTGATGCTCTGTCTGACAGATTAGATGGCTATTGCCCTGCCTTGGATGGGGTTGCACTCCCTCTAAAGGACCAGGTCCGTAGCTTCGGGGTGCTCCTGGACCAAAAACATCCCTTGGCGACTCGGGGGCCAGGAGTGCCTTTTCCCAGCTGCAGCAAATACAACAACTAAGTCTTATCTGGACCAACAGAGCCCAACCACAGTTGCCCATGTGCTGGCAAGATCCTGACTGGATTGCTGTTATGTGCTCTGCATAGGCTGCCTTTGAAGATGGTCCAGAGACTTCAGCTGGTCCAAACTAGGGCTGGTGCATCTGCTGTCAGGTGTCAGTTTGCATTCCACGTAACACCTATTCTACACAAAGAACATTGGTTGTCAGTTGAAGCCTGGGCCTAATTTAAAGTGCTTCAGGTCCAATTTAAAGCCCAAGTCTCTTGGAACCTGGTTACTTGAAGGATCACCTTTTCCAATATACTCCTACCCACCCACTGAACTCTGGGAGTGAGGTCCTTCCTAAAGAGGTAAAAGAGATGACATTTCGAAGAAGGCCCTTCTTGGTGGCTGCCCCCTCCCCCCCCCCCCCCCCGGAATGGGCTTCCAAAATTGGTCCACCTGGTGCCATCACTACTTTCGTTTTGGCACCAGGCAAAAACAGTCCACTCTCAAAGGGTTTTTTAAACCAGACTTTAACACCTGATTGTAAAAGCTCACTCTGCTACCAACAGGTTGCCTGCACCTGCTCCTTCCCCCTTCACTTAGCATTGAACTGTTGGCCTGTTTTTAATGTTAGCTACTTAGAGAGCCCTTGGAGGGCTATTGAGCCACATATAAATTTGAAAATAACTAGATCCACTTAAGCATGTTTGTTTTTTAATTAAAATTATTTGTAACATTATTTCTGAGTTATGCTCAGGCCCAGAAAGAGACTCTGAGGTGACTTACCGTTTAAAATCATTTTAAAAATTGCTTCCAAAACGGAAAGTGTCACACTCAGCAACATGGAGATGAGGAGCAAAACCAGAGAGTTTAAGCACTCAGAAGCCATGCAGAACAGCAAAGATGTAAACAGGCTACCTAAAGCCATACATAAGAGGGATCAGTCTAGGCTCTTCAGGGAGAGAGCTCTATGACGGGGGGGCTGCCGCAGAGAAGACCTTGCTTCATATTCCCCCCTGTCTTGATACTGGGGACATACAAAGCAGGATAGGTGCTAAGGACACAAAATCCAGGGATAAACCACCCCTTCAAAAATGCACAGTTTTGCATATGCTAATTGACTTATGCTCTGAAGTCTTCGTGTGTACATGTCTTAAAAGTAGCTCTCTCCTCAGCATCCCCCCCTTTTGTGAAAAGGGATGTTTTGGGAGGGGAGAGGAGGGCATATGAAAACAATGATAGCTTCTACAAGTTATTTCTTATTACCTTATTTATTATGAGTGAATAATTTTTAATTACATTCACACCCCGCCATAAGTCTCCCAGAGTGGCTTATGTGGAATTAACAAGGCAGTTCCTAACATGACATACGAGGGGAAAGGGACGTGGAGGGAAGGGGGGAAGGGGAACCCAGGCACTCACACCGACACTTACAGCAAGATGTGTGGTTCTATTCTCTCAAGAACAGCAGTCTGGACTGACGATCAGTGTTTGGTTTCTCATAATTTTTGGTGGCCTCTGCAACCGCTGACTTGGTGTGTGCTCATGTGTGTGTGGGAGACCCTCCATGAATCCAGAGTTTAGGGGTTTCAGCTGCTCAAAAAATCCAAGAACCATTTCTTGTGCTCTCATGCTGAATCATGCATGAAGTAGCCTAAGTGAAGTAAGAGGAGCGCAAGGCTATCAGAAGTCACGGCTGATTTTTCCCACCCAGTTGCAAGCCTTTTCTCCCACTTTAGCCCATATTTCTCCCAAATAATTCAGGGGTTGCCAGAAAAGACCTGTTTTCCCCACAGAGTTACACTTCCCAGAATGGCTCATCAGTCAGTCCCTCTTCCCCAGAAACTCTGGAAACTGCCTCTCCATGTGAGGCACCCTGTGCCCTTGAAAATCTCAGGGTCCCCAAGATTCCCTGGGGAAGTCATGACTGTTCAGAGTGGGATAAAAGTGCCCTAAATGTTTGGGGTGGATGCAGGGTCATTTTGGAGGCAGCAGGGGCAAGCTGACGGCACGTTGCTTGGCTTGCCTGGGAGGGTTCTCCTGAGAGTGAGCTTCCTGGCACTGCCCCGTTCTCAACCTGTTCAGCGGAGAACTCTGAAACAGGGGCAGCTGCCAGCCAGGAGCCAGTGGCCTTGCATCTCTTGAGAGGTGTGGGGGGGGGACAGTAACACCCCCCAGAGGGCCCCTTCCAAAATGAGCCACTATGCCCTTGTCCAGGAGAGATGAAGGGAGGCGGGAGCAAGACAAGGAGATGCACGAGGGCCCAACGCCTGGCAGGGGTCAGATGCCGCAGAGCTCTCCAGGGTCCCTGGGACTTATTCCAGCAGTCCTTGAACAGCGGCAGCAGGGCGGCGGAGCAGGGAGCAACTCGGACCTCCGTTTCAGGGCTACAGCCATGCAGGGCTACTTCCAGCTTCCTCTCTGCACTGACCCTCCCACCCCTGTGGAGTTGCTAGAGCTGAGCAAGGTGTTGTTTCAGCTCCTCTGGCTCTGCAAAGCAAAGCAAAGCAAAGCAGCATTTTAAGGTGCTACAACTCCATGACATGTTTGCCCATCAGTACAGCTCAATGACATTCAAGACCCATCTCTCCCAGGCCCAGCTCCATCCTGAGAGGCAGTCTGCACTCACCCATACAGGGGGAAGGGCAGGGTGGAGCAGGGGAAAGCCAGGTTGGTTTAGATGGGTCATTTTTTCCCTGCTTCTCTTGGCATAGGTATCACGACAAGCAGGATGTGACCAGCAACTTCCTAGGGGCCATGTGGCTCATTTCCATCACCTTCCTCTCCATCGGCTACGGGGACATGGTCCCGCATACCTACTGTGGGAAAGGGGTCTGCTTGCTCACCGGGATTATGGTAAGGGACCCCAGCACCGCGATCAAAACAAACCACATGGCTGCAGACCTTCTGTTGGGCAGGGCAGCTGCTGGCCCTCAGCATGTTTTGGCCTGCAACTCCCACAAACCTGCAATATTTGCTGTGCTGGCTGGGGCTGATGGGAGTTGTTGGCCAAAACTACTTGAGGGACAGAAGCTGCCTACCACAAGCTAGGTGGCTAGAAGGATGCATACGTGCATCCTGCACCTCAAAGAGCAGCAGCAAATTTATTAGGTTTGGAAATCTAGCACAGCAGAGCTAGGGCACTTCTCCTTGACACCCTGACTTTCTTCTTGCAAGGTGTCTCTTTATGTGTGGGTGGAGGTGAGGCAGGAAACGATCAGTAAGGCGCGCTCAGTTGCTCCCTTTTAGCGCTGCCCAGAGATGAGCGACTCCATTCCATGTTGCTGCTTGCACAGATCGAGCACTTGCCTTTGACTACTTTTCTCTGTGACGTTCTGGCTTGCTCTTTGCAAGGCTTTAAACATGTATCTATGGTAGCATATTCCCCGCCCCCCTCTCTCTTATTAACTGCCAGGGGAGCATTCAGAAAAGCTGAGTTCTCCTTCAGAAAGTGGCATGGCCTCTTCCAAGACATCCAGACTCTCCTATCCCACTCACAATGTGCTATTCATCAGATTGGGCCTGTTGCAGCTTTTGTGTGCAAACCCTTCCCCTCCACATCACACTCTCAAATGTGCATTGCTCCCCACTTTTTAATAAGGTCCACCTTTTCCCCGGCAGGGATCTTCCCCAAAGTAAAAGCCCCACCTGCACTCCAGAGAGGTGCACTGCAGAGAAGTGCAAGTTAACTGTTCTGGCTCTCCTCGTCTAGCCCTGTCATGCATCAACCTTTCTTTGGGTTGCAGGGCGCAGGGTGCACCGCCTTGGTGGTTGCAGTCGTGGCCCGGAAGCTTGAACTCACCAAAGCTGAGAAACACGTCCATAACTTCATGATGGATACACAGCTCACAAAGCGGGTAAGAGACGAAGGGCCCAGTCCCTGTGGCCAGCGGTCAGGAACGGGGCAAGGAAACCCAGCAAAGTGGAGGTACCCAGGAGGAGGGCCTTTCCTCTTTGCATCTCCCACTCCACCGATGCCTCTCCCTTCCTTGCTTTTCACCCACTCCCTGCCCCCCCCTTCCCCTAGGTGAAAAATTCTGCCGCTAACGTACTCAGGGAAACATGGCTCATCTACAAGCACACCAAGCTGGTGAAGAAGATCGACCATGCCAAAGTGCGGAAACACCAGCGTAAGTTCCTCCAAGCCATTCATCAGTAAGTCCAACACGTTTACCTGCTTCAAACAGCCCGGTGCCTGCCACTTCCCACTGCAGCCTGCCTCCCCAGCGCCTGCCCCATCACCCAGTCCCTCCTCTCGTGGGCCCCTTCTGGAACTGGGGGAATGCTGTCCTGGTGGAGCCCTGCCACACGACCCCTGCACAACCTATTGCTTGCTGGAGGGGGCAGATGGGTGGGCAGTTGTCTTAGACAAGTCTTCTCTGGCTTGCTTTGATAGGGCTGGGCATGAAGGACCCCTCTGCCCTGGCTGCATTTTAGCATGACCATGAGATGGGTGGGCTTCTTGCAAGTTGGACCACTGGCCCATCCAGCTCGGCATAGCCTACTTCACAGGACTGCAGGACTGCAGCTCCCCAGGATTTCCAGGAGGCCTTTCCTGCCCTACCTGGCGATGCTTCCAGGGACTGAGCCATGGGCAAAGCAGGGTCTCAAGCTCCTCCTGCTCCAGCCCCTGCCCTGAACTGATTGTAGGAATCTGGTCCTCATGATTCTGAGCAAAGGGCTGACTTAAGCAGAAATGTCATTCCCCACAGCAAAACCTTCCGGATCTCCTTTGCTGCTGCTTTCCTCAGACTGGCGCAAGCACCTGCCTTCCGAATGCATTGGTTTCCTGGAAGGCCACCACCATGGTTGAGGGTAAAACATGCCCAGGGGAAGGCGAGAGTTCTCAGGTTAGGAGTGCTACCCCGGAGTAGCTCCCATGTCCATGCAGGCTGCGGGTGCGCAACGAGGAGGAGACCCTCCTCCTGCAGTGTGGATGCGGACAGCCCCAGTCCCACCCACGAGGGGGCAGAGCATCCACCTGGTGGCCACAAAGGTGTGGCAACCCTCAGTGGACGGAGGGCGACACAGGGAGACAGCAGACCAGGTTGCCCCCACACATGAACACTCCAAGGACCCCAAATTGTGTGTCCCGTGGAATGAAGTGCTCAAATGAGCACTCCAAACCTGCCAGCAGGGTGGAAAGCTGCCTTCTCCACCAGGACTGGCTCCTCTCACCTCTCTGGCATCCAGGCTGTGACCTTTTCTGCTTAACTGTCTTCTCTACCAGGACCCGCTGAAATCAACAGATGTTCCTTCTGAGTAGACCTTGCCAGCACACCCTGAGTTGCCCTACAGATGGGGACCCCTCACTCCCATGTCAGTGGGGGGTTGTATCCACCCCAGGCCACAGTCTGAACTCTAAAGGAGCTCCCCCAGGTGCAGAATCCAGCCCCCAAATAGGTTCTGCACCATGGGTGGCTCCTTTAGAGTTCGGACTCTACACTGACTCAAGCCAGGGTAAGAGAAGAGACCCTCCATCAGCAACCTGCCCCCTAAACCAGGCTGTCTCCTGCTTCCCTGCATCCATCCACCAGAGGGCGCTGTGGCTTGCCCAGGCATGTCAGGGCTTTTATTTGCATCCTGGCTCTACCCTGCCAGTGTGTGTGTGGATGGGAGAGAGAGAGTTGGAGGGAGGGATTCCTTTTAATATGCATAGCTGTTTCATGCCACCCCCCTGCCTCTCTGTAGTGCTGCAGGGTGGCTGAAGCACCATGAAGCAGTGAGCTTCCATGGATGCACCTCCCCGCCTTCCCGGACAGCATTCATTCTTTCAAGCTGAGATGCATCTCTTTCAAGCCAGGGTGGGCAACATGGACCCAGAAGGGCATCCCAGCATTCTTGGAGGCTTTCACCAAAATTTGACAGGGTGGCAACAGAAGTGGTCTGATTGCCCTACTTTTCAATCATGCCAGATGTGGTTTCCTGCTGAAATTGGGGTGTGTGGTGGGGCAGAGAGGTAGTCCCCACAGATTTTGAGGAGGCCCACGGAGGGAATCAGTCCCCAGGCCTCTGGAAGTGGCCCACCCAAAATGTCCCTGTTTCCAGCTTCCCCCAGGTAGCCTCCAGACTGTCCGTGCTTCTTCCAAGCAGGAGGCAGGAGGTGTGAAAGGGGCGCCCCGGAAGCCGCACAGGCATGATGTGTGTCCATACGCTCACTTTTGTCTCTGCCTCCTCATGGCAAGAACAGAATATCCAGACCAATCATGTCAGTCCCATTAATGCTCATAATCTAGAGGAGTCTTCCAATGCTTGGCAGGGTCACTGTTGTTTCTTGATATAAATTCAAGGAGCTGTTTTGCTTCTTGCCTCAACTTTGGCCTTTCTGCCTGGAGGCGAAATGGGGCCATAATTTCCTCATGAAAACAAGTTAACAAAACAAAGCCAAGCTCCGCCTCCTCATTGACGAGTCCTGTCGCGTGCCCCCCCCCCCCCCCACTGGAGTTTCCTCTGTGTCAGGCAGGTTGTCTTATCGGTGCCATTCCTGCAGTTTGTCAGTTTACTCTATCCATACTTTTAAATTATGGATCCATTTTATAAAGTTATATACATCCGTTCCATGAATATTGTGAGGGAAGTTCACAAAGAAGTCAGAAGTTCAATAATACGTGTATCTGCACACTGAAGTGAAAAACCAGCTGGATAAAATAGTGGTCTTGCAGTCACCTTGACACTTGTGGAAATGGCTGGGAAACTCCAAGAAGTCCCCTGGGAATAAGAGGCCCCTCGGAATATAAACATGGTGACCTTACACTGGGCCAGAGGCTGCTTTTGTGCCCAGTGCAAGGGAAGTCACGCTGAGGCTTTTTCTGCCTTGCCTTCAAAAGGAATCCTAATGATGTAGCTTTGGTGATGCCCTCTGTTCTGCATAGGCTCAGAAAGAATGGAAAGTGACTTTTGAAACAGTCATTTATATATTTTTATTATTTGTCTGTAATATTCATTTAAAATGTCTTGGCTGCCACCCAAATAATTTTTCATTTTGTGACATGTTCATCTAGTTCCTCAGCCAAAATATATGTCTTGCAATTAATTCATAAACAAGATGGTCTTTGCAGGCTTCCATTCTGAAAAAAGAAAGAAGACATGATACAAAAGGAAAAGGGGGTGAGGAGGGGCGTGGAACGCATTAAGCAGGCATTGAACCAGCCATAGAGGGCAGGTCCCCTTGCCTGCTCCTGTCGCCAGCTTGCTTGCTGCAGTTCCTTTGGCCAGGCCGCTCAGTGCTTCCTGTGGGATTCGCCCTTTCCGCTTCTGAGTGACCGGCTGTGCCAAGATGGAGTGAGCAGCGGGAGGGTCTCGCCCTGTCCTCGCCTAGCATTCTCGTGACTCCACCTCGCTTCCTGCTAGCTGTAGCACCCTTTCAGGCGGCTGCTGCCAACCCACAATTTCCCATTCTGGATCTGTCCCACCATATAATGCCTGGTCTATAGCATCGCAAATCCAGCTCCTTGCTCTGGAGGGCAGGGGTGCCGAACCTTTTGGCCTTGGCCGAATCCTGCTCGGATCTGGCCCTCAGGGATTGTTCGGTGGTTCCCCTACTTTTGTGGCTTTCATGCCTCCATTCTAAAAGGTTGAACAGTCTCTCCCGAAGGCTTAGCCACTGGCCAGAAGAGCTTTAAGCTAAAAGGCATGCATAAGAGACGCAAGTAATTGGATGGCATACAAATTTTATAAATAAATAAATTTCTGGCCCTGCCTCTTTTGCCTTTGGCTTCAACCAACACTGAAATGCCACCCCCGAGGACTCTTAGAAATGGACTTCAGCCCATGGAGCATGGGAGGTCTGCATCCCTGACAAACTGTGTGCATTTTCTGCTCCCCCCATGGCACTTTGGGTTGGGCTCGTGCTCTCCAATCAGAGTATGGAGACTGCAACCTTGCACTGGGGGCATGGGAGGGCAGTGGCAGAACCCATGGACACGGGGAAGAGGAAGAGCAGGCTGCGTTGGTGCTTTGCCTGGTGGTGGGTTCCCCCGCCCACACATTTTACTTAAACTTTTGTTGTTTTGTCTCTGTTTTGCCCCCTCCCTGACCATGCAGAGCCCAGAAGTAAGTTAATGTTTGTCTCCCAGCTGCCTCTTTGTTCTTGGATGTCTGCACTCTCTGCATGGTTTGTCCATCTGGGTTCTATGCTCTGGAGGGCCACAGTGGATCCCATTCACAAATGCACGCACTCACTCCACATTTCCAGTTCGCTTGCCATGGCCACTCCCTGGCATCCCAAATTTCACTCCATCTGAAATTTGGACCTGCAAAAGTGGATCCAAACAGTCTAGATCTGTAACATGCCCCCCAAATGCCGCCACCGGCTCTTATTGGGATGCTCTCAGTCCCACCCCACCAGGATACACCCTGTAGCTTTTGTGCCACTCTGTGCCTGTGCAATGGCATTGCTGTGGTCCTTGAGGACTAGCAACTTGGCCTTTCAGGAAGTTGCACATGCCCATTCATTTCTATTTATCATGTGTACACATGGCTGTGCACCCCCTTCCGCCTTACAGAAAATGCCTTCTCTCCAGTTTCATGGCTGCTCTCCCAGTTCTAGCCCAGAAATGTTCTTCCCAAATTCCTCCTGGATCAGACCAGCAGTGCTGCCCCATCTGGAGTGCAGTATGGCACCCCAGCGATGGCATGTTTTCCCTTTGGTCTTGACAAGATCAGGACTGCCCTGCCTGCCATACTGTTTGGGTGCCCCCCCCAACCATGAGGCTCTCTGTTGTGGTGCTGCACCCTCCTGCCTCCCCGCAGGCCCACGGAGGGTGCAAAATCAGAACTGGGCAACAACTTGAAACAAACCAACAAATGAAAAGCTTCATGGGAAAGGATGAAATTGCACAACACGCCCTGATGGCCCTGAGCCCACCTCGGAGAAATGGCAGAGAAATTTCTCCATCCTCCCCATGGAGAAATTTGGCGGTATTGTTCCCCCCATTCCTCTGCCCACAGCTTTGAAACACCCACAAAGAAACATAGAAAACAGAGTGAGTCAGAAGGGGCCTCCCGGGCCATCTAGTCTGATCTCTGGCACCAGCCAGCTCCACTCACGACATGCCCACCATGTGGACGTCCAGCCTGTCTTTGAACACACTAACCGATGGGGCCTCAACCACCTCTCGTGGAAGCCCATTCCACACCCTCGGGGTCCTGACTGT